GGTCAAAACCTCAGCCTGCAAATTCAAGTACCCAAAAAATCCAGCTCTGAATAGTTCTGTAACAGTGATCTGTGTTTTTCTCTGCCTCCTTTCCCTGGGCTGGTGACAAAATCACCTTCAGGGGTGGGCTCCAGGGACCACAGAGTTTGCCCCTTGGGTGTCCTTGGAGGCCCCCTTCCAACCTCTGGAACTGCCCAAGAGCAGCCTGTCTGGGTTAGCACACCAATCTAAAGAAAGTTGAATTCCCATCTACATGACTGAAACAGGCTACTTCATCTTCCGGTGCCTCTATTTCCTTGTCAATAAAATGGGCATATTCATAGGACCTACTCATAGGGTCGTGGTCAGGACTGAAAGAGCTAACGCTATACTCAGAACATAGTAGATGCTCAATAAATACTGGCTGCCTTAGCACGATCACTCCCTGTCCTGCGCGGGGATTTTCCTGCTGCCGAGTCTGGTGCCTCTGGCTTATTGTTCTGCGTCCAAGGCTGTTTCTCATTCAGCTGCTGCTCTTTCTCTCTTGGGAGGGGGATATGACACTTCCTAGAAAGAAAGTACTCAAGACTCTGTTCATTATTTTATTATGGAAAATATAAAATGCACAAAAACAGAGAGAATGAAGTTGTGAATGTCCAGTGTGCTCATGACCCAGCTTCCACAGTTGTCAACACTTTGCCATTCTTAGTCATCCTTGGTCATTATTTTATTATGGAAAATATCAAACGCACAAAAACAGAGAGAATGAAGTTGTGAATGTCCAGTGTGCTCACCACCCAGCTCCCACAGTTGTCAACACTTTGCCATTCTTAGTCATCCTTGGTCCTCCCTCCTTCCTCCCTCTATTTTTTTTTTTTCTAGAATTTTTAAAAAATTATTTAAGCAAGCCCAAAACATCCTATTTCACCTGCTATGTGAAACCTCTATCAGAAACCGTCTTCTACCACTTTTTGAAAACATACATACAATATCACATCACCCTCAATAGAATAAGCAATGGTTTCTTACTATTGTTGGATATCCAGTCTATTTTAAAATCTCCCAGATGTCTCCAAAATATCTTATTTTCCAGATGACTATTCCAATCAGGATCCAGCCTTGGTCTCTGTATTATCTTTGGTATATCTACTTCTTAAATCTCTCTTTCTCTCCTTTTAAAATTTTTATTACAGTATAGTGGCTTCCTAGTTGGCCCAGTGGAAGAATCCACGTGCCAAAGCAGGAGACACAGAGATGTGGGTTCGATCGCTGGGTCTGGAAGATCCCCAGAAGGAGAAAAGGGCAACCCATTCCAGTATTCTTTTTTTTTTTTTGTATGTGATTAGCAGGTCTTTTATTGGTAGTAAACTAGAGCAGACAATCAGAATAGTACATATGTAGTATTCAGTACACACAATAAACATTAAAGGAATTCAAAACCTGTATAAAACAAAACACTGGAGGAAAAAAAATTGTACAGCTTAAGAGAGACAGTGAAAAAATCCTCTCCATCCTTTGACGGCAGCTTGTTCTCTGTACCCCACAGACCAAAATAATACAGACTTTTTAGTACTGATTGTATTTGAGAGGATTAAACACATTTTCTAAGAATCTTGCAATGACAAATAAGTGACCCTTTCTCTGGTAAAGCAGACCTTTAAGGGAGGAAAGTGGGGATTATGCAATTGACTAGTATTTTGTAACCATTTAAAATAATTTCTCATTTTCCAAACACTGCTTTCACAACAGAAGTGTTTTACATTTGCACAATATTAACTACTTTGCTACATATGGAAGCCTGTGGCAGGCTGATTACACAATAAGACTCAAACAACCAGTGGTACTTTTCTGACGTCAGAAGAGTACATAAGACTGAAACATCACCAAAAGTACATAAAAAACTCATCAACATAAACATCGAAGTACGTTAAAAATATAATCAAGAAAAAAATACAATTGCTAAAAAGTGGTTTAGGGCAGAGCCACTGTCTACCAGTGGCTTCAAATGGCAGTTAGTGTTCATAGCAAGTTTGGATGACTTTACAGGACCCTTCTACAATACTGACTCATGCACCCTTTTAACAGGTACATTACACAGGCTGCAATTTCACAAGAGGTGCTGATGTCCTTACTAAATGAGACACTCTTAACCTTCACACTGGCTTTGTCACCAGTTGGAATCACCACCTTACCACTCCAGTATTCTTGCCTGGAGAACTCCAGGGACAGAGGAACCTGGCGGGCTACAGTCTATGGGGCTGCAAAGGAGTCTGACATGACTCAGCGACCAAATAACAATAAATAGTTGATTTACAATGCTGTGTTACTTTATGCTGTATAGCAAAGCATATCAGTTATATATACAGTAGGCCTTTATTAGCTATCTATAAATCTCTTTTAATCCACGACACTTGCCGTTCCATTTTTTTTCCCTCTTCCTATTTTAAAAATGCCATTTATTTGTGAGAGAAACAACACCATTTAACCTGGAGAGTTTCCTGAGCTCTGATTGGGCTGGTTTTGTTCCTGTGGTGTTATTTATCATATTCCTCTCTTACCTGCTTTTCCTGTAAACTGGCAGTTTTAGATCTAGGACCTTGACTAGATTCACATTCTTTGTTTTTTTGGCAAAAACTGCTCCATGGATGGTGGTGGTTTAGTCGCTAAGTCATGTCTGACTCCTGTGACACCATGGGCTGTAGCCCACCAGGCTCTTCTGTCCATGGGGATTCTCCAGGCAAGAATACTGGACTGGGTTGCCATTTCCTTCTCCAGGGGATCTTCCTGACCCAGGAATGAAACCCAAGTCTACCGTATTGCAGGCAGATTCTTTACTGAATGAACTATGAGGGAAGCCCTGGTGCTGTATCATTGTTTTACTGCATCACATCAGAACAGATGTCTACTTGTCCCTCTTCTCCGAGTGCTGAGGTTGACGGGAGGGTTTGCGGTGCCAGCTCAACCTATTTATTATAAGGTTCCTATCTTTTTTACATGATGGTTTTATTAGATGTTGTTCATCTTCCAGATCCATATTTCCTTAAGTTTATCATTCCTTCTGCAGGAATTATTTTTAGATTCTTCTCTAAAGAAGGACCTCCCACATTGACTCATTATTTCTCTGATTTCTGTACAGAAATGGCAGGATAAGTGCTTGATTATTTCCCTTTTCAGAATAAAAATGTCACCAATGACTTACTTGCTTTTATTATCATTATGAACTCATAGATCTTTATTATTAATATATATTTTATTCCATCAGTTATTATTATTATTAAATACTCAAATTGTCCCATCTTCTGGCTAGTGTCCCTCACAGCTCAGTTGGTAAAGAATCCACCTGCAATGCAGGAGACTCCAGTTGGATTCCTGGGTTGGGAAGATCTGCTGGAGAAGGGATAGGCTACCCACTCCAGTATTCTGGCCTGGAGAATTCCGTGGACAACATAGTCCATGGGGTCGCAAAGAGTCGGACACGACTGAACGACTTTCAGTTTCACTTTCTGGCTAGTGTGGGCTCTTTCAGGCTGTCTCCTTTTTTTTTTTGCCACACCATGTGACATGTGGGATCTTATTTCCCTGACCAGGGATCGAACCTGTACCAACTGCAATGGAAGGTGGAGTCTCAAGGTGGATCATCGGGGAAGTCCTTTGGATATGTCCCTACTGTTACTTAAAATTTTTCTTACTTTCTAGTGCGAGATGTTCTGACCTCATCTTGTATATTTTCTGTCCCAGGACAGGAACCAACCTTTCTCCAAGGAGCCCTGGTTCTTCTGAATTGTTCAGTTGCTAAGTCCTATCTGACCCCATGGACTGCAGCACGCCAGGCTTCCCTCTCCTTCACTATCTCCTGGAGTTGCTCAAACTCATGCTCATTGAGTTGATGATGCCATCCAACCATCTCATCCTCTGTTGCCCCCTTCTCCTTCTACCCTTCATCTTTCCCAGCATTAGGGTCTTTTCCAATGAGTCGGCTCTTCGAATCAGGTGACCAAAGTACTAGAGCTTCAGCTTCAGCATCAGTTCTTTTAAAGAACATTCAGGGTTGATTTCCTTTAGGTTTGAGTGGTTTGATCTCCTTGCTGTCCAAGGACTCTCAGGAGTCTTCTCCAGCACCATAGTTTGAAAGCATCAATTCTTTGGCGTTCAGCCTTCTCTATGGTCCAAGTCTTAACTATACTTAACAAAATCCTGCATTGCTTGATATGTTTGCATGACAGTGTCAACATGCAAATGACCCCCAGCTGGGAATGAAAACTGGGGGCTCATCCCTCTTGCATAACAATGCAGGGTCATAAAGCAAACAAACGACCGCAGCAGATTGCCTTTATTTAAAACTCCAATTTTTTTCCACTGTGGAATTTTTTTGGAGAGGCATTAATTTTGATTCTTTCAAATATTGCCTTAAGATATCATGTATCTTCACTGCTGTACGCCTGAAATTAACACATGGAAAATCAACTATACTCCAGTAAAAATTAAAAAAAAAAATAAAATTTAAGCAATAGTTTAAGACTTGGGCTATCAATTTTGGAATTACATGCATGTGATTATTAGTTCATTCTCCTCGAAGTATTTTTAAAATTATTTATTTTTGGTGGCGCTGGGTCTTCCCTGCTGCCTATGGGTTTTCTCTAATTGGGGTGAGAAGGGGCTTCTCATTGAGATGGCTTCTCTTACTGCGGAGTGGGGGCTCTAGAGCACACAGGCTTCAGTAGTTGTGGCTCTCAGGCTTAATTGCTCCGTGGCTAGTGAGATCTTCCTGGACCAGGGATGGAACCCATGTCCTCTGCATTGGCAGGCGGATTCTTAACCACGGGACCACCCGGGAAGTCCAGTTTTCAACATTTGAATCAGGGGTGTGACACCCCAGCTGGCTGTCAGTCCTCATCATCCCTGTTTCCCCGGGAGAAACCTGAGGCTTAAAGAAATGGCGTGATGGGCTTTGAGTGGCTCTGACGGGCAAGCTCCTTGCTACCTGTCACTCACACTCTCCCCACCTCTCTGATTCCACCCAGGATGCCACGGTTCTCAGCACCCCTGATTACTCTGATTATGACAAATGGACCTCGAACCCCGACACCATGGTGGATGCCTCTTCCCACAGCCACAGGCTTAATGCCCCAGATGTGATCGCCCTGGTGATCTTCGCGGCCGTCTTCCTGATCGGGGTGCCCGGCAATGCCATGGTGATTTGGGTGACAGGGTCTGAGATCAAGCGGACCGTCAATGCCATCTGGTTCCTCAACCTAGCGGTGGCCGACTTCCTCTCCTGCCTGGCGCTGCCCATCTTGTTTACATCCATCATCCAGCACAACCACTGGTCCTTCAGTGACGCCGCCTGTCGAATCCTGCCCTCTCTCATCCTTCTCAACATGTACGCCAGCATCTTACTCCTGGCCACCATCAGCGCCGACCGCTTCCTGCTGGTGTTCAATCCCGTCTGGTGCCAGAACTACCGCGGGGCCCGCCTGGCCTGGGTGGCCTGCGCCGTGGCCTGGAGCTTGGCTCTGCTGCTGACCATACCTTCTTTCGTGTTCCGTCAGATCCACGTAGAGCACTTCCCGCCCAAGACGACGTGTGTTGTTGAATACGGTAGGGACAATGTGTACGTGGAGAAGGCCGTGGCCATCGTCCGGCTGGCCGTGGGCTTCCTGGGGCCGCTGGTCACGCTTGCCATCTGTTACACCTTCCTCCTGATTCGGGCGTGGAGCCGCGCTGCCACGCGCTCCGCCAAGACGCTCAAGGTGGTGGTGGCCGTGGTGACCAGCTTCTTTGTCTTCTGGCTGCCCTACCAGGTGACGGGGATGATGCTGGCCTTTTTCCAGGCACACTGGGACAGCTTCAAACTCGTGTCCAGTCTAGATGCCCTGTGCGTCTCCCTAGCTTACATCAACTGCTGCATTAACCCCATCATTTACGTGTTCGCCGCCCAGGGCTTTCACGCCCGGTTCCTGAAGACCCTCCCCGCCAGGATCCGGGGCGTGTTGACTGAAGAGTCGGTGCGCAGGGAGAGCAAGTCCCAGACGCTCTCCACGGTGGATACCCCGGCCCTGAAGAGCCAGGCTGTGTAAGGGGAGGCCTCTCTGACCGCCAGCTTTCCAAGGCTCCGCCAAACTTCTGGTCCATTCACTTTGCTTTTTGGAACTCAGCCCGGGACAAGGTGGGTGGTGTTGGTTGAAGGAATTTGCCACCTTTTCCTTCCATCTTTCCTGGACTCATCCTGCTGCTTCTCGGCGAACCCATCTTATCGTTCTTCATTTTCCAAGGTTGATAAGTTCTTCTAGGAACCACCCACCCCCCCAGTCTTTCTATCCAAGGAGTTGGGAAAACAAACAGCAACCAACATACCTGGAACCCTCCCACAGAATAAGAAGCTCCTGTGCAGAGCATGTGAAGATATCAGATACACAAAACAAACAGAAACACTCAAACTTGGAAAAAAAAAAAAAAGAATTCTGTATTTATTTTATGGAGAATTGACCAAAAAAATTATATGTATAAAACTGGAATCTCAAAAGTTATTCTTGTTTAGGACAAAGCAAAAATCCATGGACTGGGCTTCACTGGTGGCTCAGTGGTAAAGAATCCGCCTGCCAATGCAGGGGACAGGAGTTCGATTCCTGGTTGCGGGGGGAAGATCCCACAAGCCTTGGGACATCTGAGCCCACGCACCACAATTATTGAGCCAGAGAGCCTAGAGCCCGTGCTCCACAACAAGAGAAGCCTGTGCTCCACAACTAGAGAGAAGGCCCTGCTCACAGCACCTGGAGAAAGTCCGCTCGGCAAGGAAGACCCAGCACAGCCATAAATAACAAAATAAAGAAATAAAAATTTTTTAAAAATTCATGGACCAATCTCAGCTTTGGAGAGTGAGTTGGTTTAAAGAGAAACAGTAAGGGCCTTCCCTGATGGTCTTGTGGTTAAGACTCCATGTTTCCACTGCAGAGGGTATGGGTTCCATCTGGGGTCAGGGAACTAACATCCCACAGGCTGTGTGATGTGGCAAAAAAAAAAAAGAAAAACAGTAAGTTAGTACATTACTTCACTAGGTTAAAAAAAAAAAGAGTATTAAGTAAAAAGATGTGATGTGGTTATGAAGAAAAGAAACCAGTGCGGAAGGTACCTAGGGTCAGGAAACACTGGTTGGGTCCCTCCAGGGGGTGGAGTCCCAGGGGAATTTTCTCTTTTGGGTTGTCCATTGATGTTTTGTTTGTCCTGAAAAAGAAAATTAGCTGTTTTATTTTGACCTCGTTTAGCGTCTCCTGAGGTTAGGTTGTAAGTAATAATACGAAAGTGATCCTGTGTGTCTTTGACCTGTCTCCTGTAACAGGAACGTCTTTCAAAATGGCATTGCAATATCACACCGAGATGTTGACATGGATATGGCCAAGGGGCCAGAGTTTTTGTAGCTGCCTAATCCCTCATGACATCCTTTTCTAGCCACCTCCACTGCCCTCTCCCCTCCCCAGCCTTGTCCCAAACCCCTGACAACCACGGATCCACTCTCCATCTCTGTTGTTTGATACTTTCGAGAATATTATTGGTGAACTCATGTAGCATGTAACCTGTGGACTTTTAAACAGCTAGTATGCACCAGGTGAAAAATGAAAATAAAAAATAATAAGTGTAGAAATGTGTTGTTTATAATTGACTTGGAAATATTCCTACTTAGTGGTTTTGTGTGTGTGTGTGTGTGTGTGTGTGTGTGTGTCTGCATTGGCTAGAAATATCGTACAGACAGCCCTGTCCAACAGAAATGTGATATGAGCCACAGAACTATAATAAAATTTTCCAGTAGATACATTAAAACATTTAAAAATAATAAAATAAATAAAAATAACAAATAATAATATATTTAATGTTGTTGTTCAGTAGCTAAGTCGTGTCTGACTCTTTGCAACCACATGAACTGCAGCACGCCAGGCTTCCCTGTTCTTCACCAACTCCCGGAGGTTACTCAAACTCATGTCCATTGAGTCGATGATGCCATCCAACTATCTCATCCTCTGTCACCCCCTTCTTCTCCTGCCCTCAATCTTTCCCAGTATCAGGGTCCATTCCTATGAGTTGGCTTTTCGCATCAGGTGGCCAAAGTATTGGAGCTTCAACTTCAGCATCAGTCCTTCCAATGAATATTCAGAGTTGATTTCCTTTAGGATTGACTGGCTTGATCACCTTGCTCTCCAATAATGTAATGCAATTATATGTTATACTAACAACAAGGATGTGAATGCTGTATTAATTATATTGTAATAATTTATTACATATCACATGATAAATGAATATAAACATATTGTGTAAAAGTATTATGTAATTGTGTTTACAACTACATGATATATAATTATATAACATAAACCATATAACATATAATATATATTAATGTATATATGTATGAATGTATTATAGTAACAATGCTATTAATATTTTATATTGCTATGTATAATATATATATAATATAAGAATATCATACATTATACATTATATATAACATTTATATATTATATACTATATACTATATTGAAATATATAATATACTATATATAATATATAGCAATATATTATATAATAATATATAAGAAAATAATATAGTCAATAATATATTTTGCTTAACTTATTATTTTTATTTCAGCATGTAATCAGTGTGAAAAATTATTACTAAGATCTTTTGCATTTTACATTCTTTTCTACACTGAAGTATAGCTAATTTACAATGTTATGTCATTTTAAAGTGAACAGCAAAGTGATTCAGCTATACATATATAGATATAAATATTCTTTTTCAGGTTCTTTTCCATCATAGGTTATTACAATGAGTGTCATTCCCTATGCTATACAGTAAGTCCTGTTGTTTACCTATTTTATATATAGTAGCGTGCATATGTTAAGAGCTTCCAAATGGCACAGTGGTAAAGAATCTACCTGCCATTTCAGGAGACACAGATGTGGGTTTGATCCCTGGGTTGTGAAGGTCCCTTGGGGTAGGAATATGGCAACCTGCTTCAGTATTCTTGCCTGGAAAACGCTATGGACAGAAGAGCCTGGTGAGCTATAGTCCATGGGGTGGCAAAGAGTTGGACACGACTATGTATGCACTCATGTGTATATGTTAATCCCAAACTCCTAATTTATCTCTCTCCTCTGTGTCCTGCTATCCTTTTTGGTAACCATAATTTTTTTTTTATGCCTGTGAGTCTATTTTTGCTTTGTAAATAAGTTCATTTGTGTGATTTTTGTGGGTTCCACATGTAAGTGCTGTCATATGATACTTGTATTTCTCTCTCTGATTTACTTCTCATCTCTAGGTCCATCCACGTTGCTGCAAATGGCTTTATTTCATTCTTTTTTATGACTGAGTAATACCCCAATGTATATATTTATATACCACATATTCTTTATCCATTCACCTGTCAATGAACCTTTAGGTAACTTCCATGTCTTGACTTTTGTGAACACTTCTGTTATGAACATTAGGGTGCGTGTGCCTTTTCAAATTAGAGTTTTCTCTAGACATATGCCTAGAAGCAGGATTGCTGGGTCATATGGCAATTCTAATTTCAAGTTTCTTTTTTTTTTAAGGAACCTCCATACTGTTCTTCATAGTGGCTGTGCCAGTATACTTTTTGGGGGGAGGGGCACCAAGTCTTCAAAACCCTGGGGGTGAGTTACACTCACAGTACATCTCCATTCAGACTGGCGTATTTCAAGTGCCCAGGGAGCCTCACAGAGGTGGTGGCTCCTGAATACGACAATCACGTAGATGTCAGCTCCTTCTTCCTCTTTGCAAGAGCTGGCTGAGTCTAGGGAACAGCCTCAGCATGGGGAACTGGGCATGGATCTTGTCCGATTCTGATGGTAACTGTAGCTGAATCTTGCTATTACCATGTTGTCATCTGTCCTGGGGACCATTTTATTCAAAGATGCTTGTGAGCTTAGAGGTCCTTTCTACCTGGACAGCCCACTTGCCTCCTTCTGCCTTCTTCCCAGCCACTTGGGCTCCTCACTGGCTTGTTCCAGGAGAGCTGGTTAACCTCTCACTTTCAGCATGATCTTTCTCCGCCTCTTCTACAGACTTCCTTCTTCTGCCCTTAAATGTTGGCTTTCTAGAGTTCTCTTGAACACACGTCTTACTTTTGTGATGTCATCCAGTACCTTCCCAGCTCTCTCACTCTTTTCAGGGTCTGGCTTCTACACCTACTTCACTCAAAATGATCTCAGTGTCTTCTCCCAAACTTCCCCCTCCCTTTTCATCCCCAACTCAAGGGCGTGCCAGCACTGTCCATATAGTCACCAAGCCTCACTTGGGACCCACTCTGGAAGCCATCCTCTTCCCATTCCACATCTTGCCTGGTTCAAGCCCTGCATCCTCTCCCACTTGGGTCCTTACCTTTTCTCCTGCCTGGTCTCCCGGCTGCCTGGTCTGTTTTTGAAAGACCACCCTTGTTGCTGTTACGCCTTCCTTCAGAGTGCAGCCTCCTCCAGGAAGCCCTCCTTAACTTCCTCCTCCCATCTCCCCATCCCTGTGCTCCATCCCTGTTCCTGGCCACCCTCTGGCTTTCCTAGGTTGGAGGAATAGGCTGTAGGCACTGGGGTCTTTTTTTTCACCCTGATTTGGAGAGGAGTTGCTTCCCAGAAGCTGGGCTTCACAGTGGTCTTCTAGAAACACTTGGACACCAACATGTGGGATCCATGTGGCTTTTCCAAGGACTGGAGTTGATCAGCACATACCCAGGAAGGAAGTGGGTTGACGGGCTAGGCGATTGTGAAATCGGAAGCCCAAGGAATCTGCTGGGTCAACAAGTACCAAACAGGAAGTGGTGGGGAAAGGGAGTGGATGATGGGTTTGGCTGAGTTGGCTGTGTTCCTACCTCCGCCCCCCAACCCCATCATGCCCCCACCTGTTGCTCAGATCTGACTCCCCAAGCTCTGGAGGGCAGAGCTCCCTACCCCCCTGCATCTGGGCCACGTGACCTTCTCAAGTACCCCATCTCCAACCTCCAGGATGGTATTACTTCAGATTCGTGTTGTCCGATAGGAATATGACATGAACCACGCACATAATTTTAGATTTTTT